TTGTCTTGTCCAAAGTGACAAAAAAGAAAAAGACCACACTGAACAGTTTCATTCATGAGAACAAACCAAAAAATAAAAAATAAAAAACAAGCAAAGACAACACCTAACCAATCAGAGGGGTACGGTGCCCACCTGTCAAAAGTCTAATTGCTCCCCAACCTACTCGCAGGGTTCATGTGCAAAGGACTCGTTCACAAATAGCACAAACACGGACTGCTGACACTGGGGTATGCTCTGGGTGTACAAAGGTGAGCTAGAAGGAAAATTCAAAAGCCACCTGRCTTCCACAGTCCCCTGCCTCACATACGCAATGACCCTTAAGCTAGCGTACAATAATTTAGTGGTGAGATCCCGAGACACAAGCACAGGGTAGGGGTGTTTGTCAAGGTGGAAGAGAGATTGTGATCAACTAGTGATGTCTRCCAGGAGCGCAGCAAGGGCAGGGGAAGGGGGCAGTAAAATCCAGGTGTCCACCACACTTGCCACCCTTGATTTAGGTCAAAGGTTGGACGCTCTGGGCAAGTGTCCTGTGAACAGATGTCTAATGGGTGAAAAGTTTACTCCACAGTGAATTGGTATGTCCAGGAAAATGCACRTGTAGTCCCAGAAGGTGCTCAGAGAGGAATGGAAAATATCTGCAATATAAATGCAGATTACCTTTATTACAAAGTTGGATCATATTCTCATTCCAAGACTAATTTCCTATATCATAAAACCTATATTCAATTTTATAAATAGCATACACCAAGAATCATAAATTCAGTTAATGCAGAAATTTAACAGATTTTTTTTTTAATAAAAGTGAGAAAAGGCTGCTTCAGAGCAAGTATCAGAAAGGACAGAAAGGGCTCTTTTTTGAAGACGTGTTTCTCTCTGACTCTCCCTCCTTGGGGACACAACTAGAGAAGAAATAAATTTCACAGCTAATATATATGAAGTAACATGTTCAACATTATCCAATGAATTTATATCTACCTACACCATATAAATTTATCTCACATAAACTGTCACCCTACAACAGAATTCATTAAAACAATGTTAGAGCTTCTGAATTAAATGCAATCTTCTAATTGGGATTTAATCTTACAATAGTAGTTGGTGGGTTTTCTTTTTTTTTTTTTTTAATTGACAAAAGGAATCATTCATTAATTTGTGTTAAGGTTCGTTCTGAAGAAGAGGAAAGCAAACTGGGCCTCTCCCACTGCTGGGGGAGGCTGGGGTGGGAGACRGGGCTGGAGGTGGGCCCTATGTTCCCTCCTCTCCCCCTGCACATGGGCAGGACAGCATGGGCGCTCTCAGCATCCTGAATCACTGCATTACTAATATATTCCATTACCTCTGCGAAAATGTCATGTTAATTTCTGATCTTCATCAAGCCAGACAATGGTTTCCACCATGGGCCCCCAGCCAATTAGCTAGTGGAAAATATGTAGCCAATTACATTACGTGTATTAGGTTAGGGACTGGAGAGAAGAGCAACATAAACGCCTCAGAAATACTTGGGAGATAAAATGTAAGTTGACACTGTCTTTGCACGCTGGGCCCGAGTCATACAATCTGAGAGGCAGCTGCCGGCGCTCATAAGTGCTTATTAAATCTAGCCTCTTCTTCATGGGGAGTGAAGATCTGTATTTTTACCAATATTAGGTTCATTGTGTTATGAAAGAGACCAAAATACTTAAGATCATTCGCCCCAGCTTATAAGACATATTAGGTAGCTTATTAAATTGTTAAAATTACTTTTTCAAAGTCAGAATTTCAGGGACTGGAAGTCCAAGCACAACCAAGAAGCTTGGATCATTGACCAGAAGGGGAGTCCTAGGGTGCACCCCAGTTCCAGAGTGGCCAGCCACACCCACCTCCGAGAGGCTACACGGCCACCAACCTATTCCAAAAATGATAAAATTTAAAAAAAAATCCAAACTCTCAAGCTGTGTTTTAAAAAGCTAAATCTGAGGAAGGAAGAAGGAATATTTCCCCTTGTGCCTGCCTCCTCCTAGTAAGCTAAAAGCCAGGAATGTGACATGAGAAAGAGCCAAAAGAGACACTGTGGGCAACTCGAAACCAAAATGTCAAGTGACACTTACACCCCACAGCAGATCCACCCACAGGGGACCATTTGTGGGTAGGGACGATACAGTGCCAAAGCACAGCCCACCACACAAGTGAAGCCCCGGCCACTGTCCATCAGCACTTCTCAAGAACACTATGCAAATACACGGCAGTTGTCACACTTATTAATAACCCTGTGGCTGACTGCCTACTCAATATGCAGCAGACGCCCCTGCACCTCACTCCTGGAGCCTTGTGATATACATCAGGCACCAAGTTCAACTCCAGCTCCACTCCAGGGAAATGGGCGGCTGCTCCACTGCCCTGCAGGTGCTGGTGGCCTGAAAGCAGCCCAGCACCCCCATAGACCTGAGGTGCTTAGCCCTTCTTACCCGGTTTCCTGCCCCGGAGTTAACTCATGACGCAGGCATATGCTTATCACCAACGAAAATCGAGGACGTTACCCATCTTCTAACCTTAAAATTCTTGCCATGATGATCTCTTTGTGCAAACCTTTTATCTCACAGTTTCACCCCCTGCATCAGAGCAAGGCGATTAGCTGTTCCGGCTGCCACCCCCGTGACGCTGACCCACGCCACCACGAGGACACTTTCAATGGGACGCCTTGCTCAGAATGAGAGTTTATTTCAAGCCTCAAGACTCCAAATTATCAGCTCTAACAATTAACTGGGGGCTTCCTAGGGTTCCTCAATAAACTGCAAAGGGAACACAGTACTTGGCAATGACAGGGCTGCCCAGCCATCAGAAACCTGAAGCACAGGGAAGGAGTATGCGGACAGATCCTGGCACTGTGCCTTGAGGGTAAAAAAAATCAAGGGGACAATTAAAAAAAAAAAAAAAAAAACAGAATACACAGCTCATAGGACTTCAGGTACCTCTGCTTACTACTAAAAACACAGTGAAAGGAAGTTTATTACAGTCTGATAAATACAAAGTACTTCCTTACTTGGGGGAAAAACACCTGGTATTCAACTGGGTCTAACGATATGATTTTTTGTTGTTGTTTTTCAAAAGCAATATTTTCACTACAGTTCTTCAGACTGATTTTTCCGATAGTGTGTCTTACCCATTTGAAATTCATGAGTACACTGGGCTACTACCAAATAAATCCATTCATGTGGTTTTGTTGAATTTCATACATCCATTTTCTGACACTGGGACTGAGTCAGACTGTTTCAATACTAAGGACAGAAATGACAGGTAACCGAGTGTCTGAGCCTGCAGCTCTTTCGATACCTTCCAAATTCCAACCACTTCTATGAACTCTCGTGGGCACACGAGACAGACTAAGGCTTTGTTCTCAGCTCCCCCTGGATCCCTAAAGACATGAACTTCCCTGATGTGTGCTCTGCTCGCTCCTCTACAGACCATGCAGGCAAATCTATCACGGTGGTGGAGCGATGGAAATCCCCCAAGCACACAGGTGAGAACACACCCAGTAAAACCACCCAGTAAAAGGACAGAAGACCTTACACCCCTCCACTCCTCCCCTCGCCACTTCTTGCCACTGTAGACACCCTTGCATGGGTTACGGTTTGCCTTAATAAAAGAAGGATTCCTGAGACGAGGGTAAAAGACTTGATTTTTTTCCTCCTCCATCTTTTTGTCCAGCAGAATGGAATGGAAACCACAAGTAGTCAGACAACAAACTGGCTGACATAGAAGATAAAGTAAAAGTCAAGTGGCTGCTTGGGGACCACGGGGTCTCTTGTATTGGGGGCCAATTACTTGATCCTGCTCCTTTTCACCTGGTAAATGGGAGGGATTGCTCAAAATGACCTAGAGCTGTAAAATCCTGAGAAGTTTGGCTCAAATATCTAAACACACAATAGTATCTTCCAGAGACTTCTATCATGAGAAGGGGCTCACTGATCTCATGGGCTGGATACCTTATCTTTGTAAATGAGATAAGCTAAGAAGAACCAGGTAACTGAGGTCCATTACTGACCCAGGGCAGGGACTCAGACATCCCAGCTGGACTCCATGGAGAGTTCCATCTGTAACCATGGTGAATCCCTTTTAGAGCCCTGTGTTAGCACCCACAGGACAGGACTCTGCATCCCATGTCCTTTGTTTTAAACACAGGAATGGAAGAAGAGGAGGACTTGTTATCTTCATGTCAGGTCACTATGAGGTCCCAACTTCCAACAGGTGCCTACGGCCTCACTGAACTTCCTTACAGGAAGCAGAGTATGCTCTGAATCCAACTCCACACTCGCAACAAGGCCAGTTAATGCTAAAGGTTCCTCCCATGGAAGCCTCTGCACATGGAACTTGCCAGGTAATGGCTCTCCAGGAACCTGGCCTCACTCTATGGCAAAGGTGTCCCTGAATGACGTCAGCATTTTCACCCACAAAACCCAGACTCTCCCAGTGACGGACACTTGTAAGGACCAGTCAGAATGGCCCATCAATGGCTGAAGCACATTATTGATGCGACGACTGAAGGTGGGAAATATACAGGACAGAAAAATGGTACAGTATCTCTTTTAGCCCCCCAAATTCAACAAATAACCTGGTGAGGTATACCAATGGGAAACCAAAGCCTACAGTCTTTAAGAAAAATGTGGAGAACCTGAAGTTTCCCACCCTCAGCTTCCTCAAGAGCCATTTTCCCAGAACTCATGTAGGAAGTTACCACGGCCTTCACGGTGGCTCACGACGAAGCCGTTCCTTCAAGGTGTATGCCCATGGTGCATAATTCAGGGAGTCTACCCTTCAGAGTATGATTAAGATAAAAAAAGCATTTTTTTAAAAAGTCCCCCTAGTCCTGTTGTGCTTTTTACAAATCCTCAGGTCCATGAAGGATTCTCTGAGAAGACTGTGTGTGTGAGAAAACAGAGGCAGGCTGTCCTCCTCAGGGGGCATCGGTCCTGCTGGACCTGTCTTGTGACTTTTCGGATGAATAGTGACCAACATTTACTCACCCTTCTGGCTCACAGGCATCACATCCGTCCAGTCATGGCTAACAGCAAATCAGAGAAGGGGCTGAAGCTTCACCATTGCCAGAATGTTCCGTGGGGAAACTGGAATCGTCAGCAAAAGTTCCTGGGACACTACAATACAAAAATATTTTCACACGTAAGTCAGATGTGACTTCTAAAACCACCACTTCCTTCAACGAGAAAGCAGCAAAACAGACAGAGAACCCAGAGTGGGGGGAAACACCGTCCCCACAAGGGGGTGTCAACACTTCAAGCGTGATGCTGCCCAACAGGAACCGGAACCACGATTTCTGAAAGATGCACATACCATGACTTCAACGCAGACACAGAGAGCCCGTCTCCACTGTGGACCGTGTGCCAGATGGTGTTAATATTTGGGCATTTTAGCTACATCCTATCCTATTACCAAGCATTTAGGTAACAATAAGCTGTTAACTTGGATTAATAAAAGCAACATTTCTTAATGATCTTTCCCAAAAGATAAAAATAACTGAAAATGTTACAAACTAATGATTTTCAATTATTTTTATTTATTTTTGGTACCGAGGATTGAACTTGGGGCACTCAACCACTGAGCCACATCCCCAGCCCTACTGTATTTTATTTAAAGACAGCATCTCACTGAGTTGCTTAGTGCCTTGCTTTTGCTGAGGCTGGCTTTGAACTCTTGATCCTCCTATCTCAGCCTCCCGAGTTGCTGGGATTACAGGCGTGTGCCACCATGCCCGGCTAAAATTATTTAAAAATAATAATGAACACTAACACTGGTAAGAGAGGCAACCCTCACAATATTTTCCTCCAAGATAAACTTTTAGTCTACAAAGTGGTTACAAACTCCACAGGGATGGAAACGCATGCAGGTATTTCCACTGAGAGAGAATAGACTGTGGAAAGGACAAGGCTCAAGGCTGGGAGGCTTGACTTCCACCCCAAGTACTGACGTCACCCAGTGTGTGGCCAGGTGGATGCTCATACCTCAGAGCCTCTTTCTCATCCTCGAGTCGAGGCATTACCAGCGCCAAGGCCCTTCCACCCCATGCCCCTCTGCCCTTCTTGATACAGTGCAGTTAGAGAGTCTAAGTAAACAATTAGCTTCTCACTTAAACTTCCTGATGAAAAAGAGGTTTATACCATAAACCAAAGATGGGCCATGGTAAAGAGTTGCACAAGCACCGAGAGGCATTCTCTCTCTGGCACTGGTGCCCAGGGCTGAAGAGATGGCAAGGGGGACAGTACCCTCTGGGTGCTTGTGGAAAGCTTCCATTCCTCTCCAGAGAGCACAGCTCTCACCCTTGTGGAAACCTGTCCAAATGGATTCGAGATCAACGGTTCTCAAACTTCACCTCGCAGAAGAATCACTTGCAGAGGTTTTTGAATTACACATTCTGGACCACTCCCAAGGATTCTGCACTTTTAGAAAAAAAAAAACCCAGGGGATGCCACTACTGCTGATCACAAGCCACACTGTGAGCCTTAATGACAAGCCCTGTCCTCCAAGCCCCCAAACAGGCTGGAGACCCAAGAAGCACTTCTGAGGCTCAAAGAGGCTCCCCCAAAGTTATGGAGTCCATGTCACATGGCAAGAAGACATGGGCTGAGAGCATCCACCACCTTTTGGATAAAATCCCAACTTCTTTCTGTGACCCAGAAGGCCCTACATGATCTGGTCACTCTCTGCTTCCCTGATGTGACCTCAAACCACCAATTCAATCCCTGACCATAAGCTGTACAGATACAGTGGGCTGCCCTCTGCCTGTCTGCCTTCCTGCCTCAGTCTACCAGCCTGTACCTTACCCAACGGGCTCCTTCTCATTACAGGGTCTTAGCCACTTCAAGAGCCCTGTCCTGCTTACCTCTTAAAGCTCTGTCCCCAGTGATTCTCAACTACATGATCCTATCTGTGTCCTCGAGAGCTCCTGCGAGTGTTCCAGCTCCGTGGAACGTGCTTGTCTAGCACGGGGGAGGGCCTGGGTTCCATCCAGCACCACCGTTCTTGAATAGTCTGTGAACTTGTTCTTCACTTACAGTCCTGTCTCTCCCTCAGACTATGAGCTCCGTCCTGTTCCTCGCTGGACTCCAACACTTCAGACAAAGGCCTGGCTCCCGGGAGGCACGCCATCTAACACTCTGAGTCCACAAATGATCCAAAATTAATAGATGTCTGCATCATCCTCCAAAAATAGAACTTCCATTTATGGAGAAAAAAAAAACACAGTAGGTGCAGGAGACTGTTGGAAGGGTTTCCTAAGTCATTTCATTTCATGCCCCTCATGCACTGTGACTCCTAGCAGAGACAGCAGTTATGAGCTGTGCAGAGCACAGCACCAAGGCACAGGGCTTCAGGGGTTCGGCCATATACAGCTTGCTCTCCAAAGAAACCCACGTTCTCCACTCACTAGTGAACGAGAAAATTCCAAGCGCCCATCTCCTGCTAGACAGACGTCCCCGAGCGAGCTGTGGCTTGGGAGGCCAGTAGAGACAATAGGCCCTTCTCATACGAGGAAGGCTAAGGCAGCCGGCAGTGACCAGGCAGGTGGCAGGTATTGGGGGGTATGGGCTAGGTGTGAGGTGGCAGGACAGGTAAGGAAGGAGAGCTGGACAGCCCTGCTTCTCCAGCATGGGGCAGCCTCTGCACTACACTGGCCAATGGCTGACACAGAGAAACACAGCCCGGGGCACCACAAGGTCCCAAGTCTACAAACAAGGACAACAAACCAAATTTCAGATTAGTGAAAAGGAAGAACTTTTTCCAAAGATGGCAGCTCTCTCTCTTGAACAGTTTACATCAAAAAAAGACAAAACTTGCAACCCCTAAAACACTGACGGCTGCAGTCACTCCTCCCCTGACCCAGTCCTGTGAGTCTAGAGAACTCAGAGGCACAGAGGAGCTGGCATCCAGGCAGATAAGGGCTTTCTAGAATCATCTTGAGCAAGTTCTGGAAGGACCTGGAAGACTGGGTAGGAAAAGCATTCTGCAAAGTGAACCAGCTATCCAAAGGCCTGGGAGAGAACAGCTAGTGGGGGAAGAGGGCAGGGGGATGTCCCACAGGGGTCCAGTGTTCCCAGCGGACACGAGCAGAGGCAGCCTTCCTGCCAAGACACAAGCTGTGACCAACAGCGTTGTCTTGCTTAACTTCCAACAGTACAGGGACCAGGCACATCCAAAAATAAACTGCCAATCGCCACGGAGGTTTGTGGAACATTTTAGTTTTGTTTTTGTGTGTTTTGTTAAGAATCCAAAAGACACAGGCCTGAATTCCATCTTCCTACAGCTCTATAACTAACCAAAATACTTAACTGCTCTGAGTTCTAGAAATGAAAAATACAGCAACCAAAGAGAGACAGATATCCAAATAAATTATCCCAGAACATAGCTCAGAGGCAAAAGCTGTCTACCTGGAATTGTATACCCAGAAAAACTATCTTTCAAAAATGAAGATGAAATCTCATCTATCAAAAGTGAAGATGAAATAGAGTTTTTCCGACAAAAAGAAGTTGACTCTCTAGAAGGATATCCTAAAAGATGTATTTGTATTTCAGGCCTAAAAGAAAAAAAAAAATTCAGAAGGCAATTCTCTTATTTAAAAAAGGAGGGCCAGAACAATGGGGATATTTGTAAGCAAACAGCAGGTAGATTCATTAACAAAAATTAAACAAAATAATAGACAGTGCAGTGGCACACATGTGTAATCCCAGCAGCTTGGGAGGCTGAGGTAGAAGGATCACAATTTGAGGCTAGCCTCAGCAATTTAGCAAGGCCTTAAGCAACTTAACAAGACTCTGTCTCAAAACAAAAAAAAAGTTAAAAAAAAAGAAAAAACGGCTGGGGATGTGTCTCAGTGATGAAGCACCACTGGGTTCAATCCCTGGTACCAAAAAAACAAAATAAAATAACAACTTCTCTGGCAGATTCACTTTCTATCTCAGCTCACAGCCCTGGGCTGCAAAGCTCAGCCGGGTTCCAGCCTGAAACGCAGACTGTCCAGGGAATCCCGACAGGTTCCAGAAATCTGCATGTCCGCCAGACACCCCTGGAGACTGTGATGAAGACCTGAAGAGCACAGCACCCTCTCCTGTGCACCAGGTGAGGAGCTGCTGGGCCCTGGGAGGTGCAGATGGAGAACACCAGTCAGCCTTTGTTCTCCTCCCCCTCGCACAGCCCAGGAGAACATGGCCCAGAGAGGTCAGCGGCAACCCAGCCTCCTACCTGTTCATCAAGAGCAGGCAATAAATTAAAACCCCATTAAAATATTTCAGAGAAAAGCTGAGAAGTGCTGAAACATTAATTGTGCCATATTCAATCTGTTTTCCTACAGATCTGAAAAGCCCGATTACCATCCTGGGGGTCATTAGAAGGAATGAGGTTTTTTCCCTTTTCAATTTACATATTTAAAAATGCATACATACATATATCCTGGCCCTGGCCACTAACTCCCTTCCTAGGCTTTCCAAGTGCTCTGGCTCCTCCAAATGCCACAGGGTAGCCACAGAGAGAGACTCTTCTGGGAAGCCACAGGGGGACGCTTTGTTTTTTTAAAGCCAGGGAACCAAAATCCCAGGGCCTGTGCTTGCAAAACAGCTCTGGGGAAACAGGTAGAGGCAGCCACACAACAACAGAGCTGTTTTCTTGTTTTGTCTCCCCTGTTTATTTTCCCCGAAGCAATCCAGGCTCAGCACAGAGTCAGCAGGGAGCTGCAAAGAGCAGCTGTGGTTCCCTGAGGCCAGGACCTAGCAATCAAGTTGTTTACCAAACACTGCCAGGCACTGGGAAACAACAGCACAAGCAGCCCTTGCATCTATTTTTCAAAAAAAAAAAAAAAACCTCCCCAAATCTGTGGCTGCCCTGGAACTCCCTGCATGGCTGAGAGGACAACTTGAGATCAGGGGATGAGCTGCACCGGGCACAGGCCTCCATGGTCCCCATGTGATCCACTTCTATGGAAGAAATCCTAGCCTGAGAGGGAGGGCTGGGCGTGTGCAGAATTTCAAGGCCTGGGTGGACATGAAGGGGCCTTTCCAAGCACATTTGCTAAGCCTACAGGATCCGGAGTCATCCACTGTCCACCCAGAGGAAGAACAGAGTCCATGGGAGAGTTTGCAGAGCTGATGTA